TTTATCATTCTTGGCTATCAACTCTACCACTTGAGCCACAGCTTTTCTTCCAGCTTTCAGGTGGTTATTGGGAGAGGAGAGTCTCACACACTTTAGAAAAGTGAGCTGGTGATAAGAAATGTACTCATTATCTTGCCCATGTAATTGTAACCCCTCTGTACAGTATTTTCACACACAAAAAAGGTCCTACTTGTACAAAAAAAAAAGAAACAAAGAAAAGTGAGCTGGGCTGCCTCTGAATGCCAACCCTTAGATCTCAGCCTCCTGAGGAGCTAGGAATATGAGAGCATGAGCTGTTAACATCTGGCCACACTTTCCTTCTTGGCTAAGACAATGTACCTCTCTCCCAGCCTAGCACCCATCTACAGCTAACCTTCCTCCCCCTACCCCTACTTCTCCAGGCTTCAGAGGAAACGTACCCTCCCCTGAGGACATAGAAATAGGATGCTTGACAGGTTTGAGCTTTATGTTCTCCACACAGTCAAGGGCTGCTGGGAACTGATGTGGAGATCAGAGATCTAGGCCAGGGTAAGTAGACAGCTGTTAGAACAGAAGAGAGTATGAAGAGACATCCTTGAAGCTGGATGCCAGTGGCTCATGCCTATAATCCTAGCTACTCAAGGCTGACACACGAGGTCAAGCAAGATTCAAAGCTAGCCTGGGCAGACTCTTATTTCCAATGAATCACCAAAAAGCTGGGAAGCAGAGCTACTGGAGTACAAGTGCTACAGGACCAACCTTGAGCAAACAAGCTAAAGGTTACCACCTAGGCTCTGAGCTCAAGCCCTGGTAAACACACACACACACAAACACACACACACACACACACACACACACTAACATCATTAGCCAGTGGCTCTTACCAGCAATCGTAGCTACTCAAGAGGCTGAGCTCTTAAGATAGCAGTTTGAAGCCAGCCCAGGCAGGAAAGTTGGTGAGACTCTTATGTCCACTAAACTACTAAAAAAGATGAAATGTGAGCTGTGGTTAAATGGTAGAGTGTTAGATTTGAGCAAAGGAAGCTCAGTGCCTAGGCCCTGAGTTCCAGCTCTAAGAGTTTTATTTAAAGACACCTTTTGCCCCTCCCCCCCTCAGGACATAAATCCAGATGTTGGTCATCCTAGGTCTCACTTCCACTCCTGCCACTTCTACAGCACCATCACAAGTGGCCTGTTTCTGGCCAGCTCTGGGTTAAGAAGTGAATGTACACAAGGGGGGCATACACAGGTCAAGGCTAATGCCCCAGAACATTGAGGTATTGGCCACACCAGTCTCTGCTCCCCCAATTCCCTGGCCCTGGAATCTAAAGTCTGTGCCTCTGTATTCTGGGCATCCAGAATTCTCTAGAAGAATTGGAGAGGCCCAGATGGGGCTGGAAGATACACTTGCCTGTGATAAAGTACGTGGACATTTCCTAGACACCAACAGATATTTCCAAGCTATCTTGGCCTCACCTCCAATGCAGCCCAGAATCCTCCTTGCTTGGGCGGCCTTCAGTCCACTCTCAAGCCGGAGTTGGCCAGACCCACCGGCATCCCCCTTCCCGCACTCCACTGCCAGCCTGCTGAGAGGGACATGCAGCCAGAGGTCTAGCTGAGGAAAAAGGCAGGACATTCCATGTCTGAGTTCCCCACCCAGAGACAGGCAAGACTCTATTGCAGCTGGCCTGGCTGACCCAGAATCCCCTGCAGGCGGCCAAAGATTTGGACAGCTGGACTTGAGCCCCAAAGAAAAGCTTGAACTCATGTCTCTGGCCATTTAGGACTCATTGTAGTCCCTAATAGGAGGCTAAAGGCAAGGTCAGGGTGGAGGAGGGGCACCATCCCAGGTCAGAAAGAGGCAGACAGTCACCCAGGAAGGGGACAGAGAAACATGAGGAAAACACACACACACACACACAAACACACACACACACACAAATATGGCACTGGTGTCTCACACCTGTCATCATAGCTACTCAGGAGGCTGAGGTCAAAGCCAGCCAGCACAGAAATGTCTGTGAGGCTCTTATCTCCAATGAACCACCAAATAGCCAGAAATGGAGCTGCATCTCAAGTGTTAGAGCACTAGCTTTGAGCACAGAAGCATAGGAACTTCACCTAGACCCTGAGTTCAAGGCCCAGGTCTTCTACATCCAAACTCACAGACACAGACACACACAGACAAAAGACACACAAACACACAGACACACACACTGGTAGCCAAAACCTCAGCAGTCCCTGAGCACCCTAAATATTCCACCCCAGAGAAGATGGCACTACCATCATCAGACCTACTGCAGACAAAACTCAGAGCCTCTCACATGTCTAGAATGGTTCACAACACATCTTGGCATTTCTACTGTACACAGTTAGGCAGAAAATTCAGCTACCTTTTATTTGATTGTAGGTTATGGGATCTGAACTTTGGGCCTGCCAGCAGGGCCTCAGCTCTTCAGATGAAGGTGTGCGCACTACTACTGGAGCCACAGCACCACATCCAATTTTCTGGTGGTTCATTGGAGGTAAAGTCTCACAGAAGTTCCTGTCCAAGCTGGCTTTGAACAGTGATCCTCAGATCTCAGCCTCCTGAGTAGCTAGGATGACAGTTTTGAACCACTGGCAGCGCCAGGCTACCCCTACTTTTTTTTATCTTCAGCTCTTTTCTTTCTTTCTTTTTTTATTGTGAAAATACTGTACAGAGGGGTTACAGTTACATGGACAAGATAAGGAATACATTTCTCATCAAGCATTGTAACCTCCTCTGCAGCCATCTTCTTATACCAAGGGAAAACCCAACTCATCAAGACACAAACCCAATGTAACCCTACACTTCAGACTTGGTCACCAGCATCCAAAACCATTCTTCCATGGATGGAGAGCATATAATTGACACTACCATCCCACCCCTGCTCCCATTCACCCACTCCCTGCCTGCCACAAGTCACAACCTCTGGAGTTCTTGGTAAGGCACCACCCACCCTGCTATGGCTTCACACTGGGGTAAATCTGGGAAGTTATTAGAAATGTCTGTACAGTGAGGCCAGCACCTAGACTCACAACCACAGCAACCCTACTGCTTCACTATCTCTTGCAAGTAAGAAAGGGGTGTCTTTCTTTTGTTGTTTGGTTTTTTGTTTTTGTTTTTTGGTTGAGGGGCTTGAACTCAGGGCTTGGGTACTGTCCCTGATGTCTAATGTTCCTCAAAGCCAGTGCTCTACCACTTGAGCCACAGTGCCACTTCCGGTTGGAGATTAGAGATGAGGGTTTGGTGGGACTTTCCTGCCTGGGTTGGGAAATGAGATTCTCTGGATCTCAGCCTCCCTAGTGGCCAGGATGACACGTGTGGAATGACAGGCATGAGCAATCAACTCGTGGCTTAAGGTGTCTAGTCCTTCAGAATTTCCACCTAGTCCTTTTCTAGACACTACCACCTAGACACCCCTCTACCTCCCTCAGGGACAGCAAAGGGATGCTAGAATCTGGGTGGGGCCATGGGGATTAAAAAGCCCCCTCCACATCACTAAGCCCCTCTAAGCTCCCATCTGCCTCCTCTGGATTGCCTGGTCTTACAGGGCAGATCAGACCCATGAGGAATTCTGGGGCCTGCCCTATGTTCCCCTGCCCCACCCAACTGATACCTGAGGACTTCTGGGGCCAGCTGCTCCATGGAAGACATTGGGAGGATTGCTGATAACCAGGCCCACGGGTGCCCAGGGCAGAAGGAGTGTCCAGCTCCCCTCTGTCAAAGGAGACACAAAGCATGGATGGATCTACTGAGAGCTACAGGGCATAGCCATCCAACTCTCACAAAGGTCCCTGGGAGAATTGTTTTATGGTGACAGCCTTGGGGCCTGACCTCAGGGCCCCGGCACTGTCCCTGACTTTCTTCATCTCCAGGGCAGTGCTCTTTCACCTGAGCCACTTCCAGCTTTTACTGTGTATGCAGGACCGGGGAATCAAACCTATGCTTTCCTGTGTGCTAGGCGAGCCCTCTACCTCTAAGACATAATCCCAGCCCTAGATAGCTGTTCTTCTGTGACCCCTCAGGCCTATCTTGGGACAGTCTCACACATCTATACCAAGTCTCTTACCAGAAGCCCTGGCTGGAAATGAACACACTCTGCTACATTGTCCATCATCTGCATCACCTTTGCACTCTGTGCTTCCTTCAGATCCTCCTTGTTAAGCAAGACACCCTTTACAAGTGCTGTTTCCAAGAAGCCCTTTCCAATCACCTTGGCAAAGCTGGAGCCTCTCCACTGTGCAGGCTGCCAGCCTTGTCAGGCTCTGCCTCCCAGCAAGTGTGGGTTGAGAATTCATGAAGGGGAAGGGTTGGATTCCACCACCAGATTTCAGAAGGCCCTGATACACCACCCAGGGACAGGTGTTATATCACACTCCGTGAGAGGGGGCTCAAGGCCTGGACAATCTGTGGGCAACAAGACAGGGCCATTTCTTTGTGTGGGCTTGAACTGAGGATCTGGGACCTGTCTCTCTGAGTTTTATTGCTCAAGGCTGGTGCTTTACCATTTGAGCCTCAGCTCCACTTCTAGCTTTTTGGTGGTTCCATGGATAGTAGAGTCTCATGGGCTTTCCAGCATATGGCTGCCTTGACACTGGACAGTCAGGTGAGATCTAGTTATCCAACCAAAGGATATTGGATTGAATGAATTCTCAGCCAAGGGATGCAGACTAGAGGGTTCTTGGTCCTTCTATGTCGGGAAGGAGAAGGGCTGATCCATCTCAGGAATGATCCTGGGTTGTGAGTATCCTCATAGTAACAACCCTGCTCAGAGGAGAGTGCCTCTGGTGTTCCCACCAGCCTCGACCTTCTGTCCGCCCTCTCTAAATCCCACATCTGCCATCTAGACTAAAGGCTGAGCCAGCAAGGTGACCCACCTCTATCTCTGAGAATGGCAGTCATGGGGCCCTAGAGTTCCCTAGAGGAAGTCTCAGAGCAACATGCGTCTGACTCCTGCCCTCATTCCCTGGCTGTCCTGTGCCAGTGGCCTGGTTACCTCTGTCTCTGGTTGAGGAATGAACACTGAGGGTGTCATCTTCAGATTGAGCCAGCAAAAGTCCCAGTCCCCAAGGATGTACTGCAAAGGCATCCTGCAGTGGACGACAGCGAGGTAGTCAATGGTGAACCCAGAGTGCCAGGACTTTTAATAGCCATGTGGCTGGGTCAAAGGCTCCATCACTGATGGTCTAGGTTGTCAGGTGAGGTCATGGCTTCAATGGCCTGACACACCTGATCTGGGATCATCCTCCCACTTCATCTTCCTGCTTATCTCTTGCCACCCCCTCTGGTCACGCCCTCACCCTATCCTCCCTAGCCTTTGGACACTTTCTTCTTATCTGACCAGAAAATAAACTCGGTGAGCCAGGGGAGATAGAAACTTCGTGACCCACCCTGAGCCCTAGGGTCTACCCGATGCTGTTTCCCTCTGCAGTATGGGACCACTCAGATTCTGGATGTCATGAAGTTGCTGAGGGGACAATGGCTAGTTCCTACATACTGGCTTTAGGCTCTGAAACTGTCCCCACAGAGATTGTTGGCTCCCTTGATCCAGAGACTCCAAACCAAGGCCTGCATGATCCCTACTTCCTTCCTTTCCACCTTTTCTCCCTCCATCCTTCCCTCCTCTCTTTCTCTTTCCTCTCTTTGTGTCACTCCTAGGCCTTGAAATCAGAGTCTGGTTGCTGTCCCTGAGCCTTTCTACTCAAGGCCAACAGTCTATGTCTTGAGCCACTCATCCACTTCTGGAGTTTTCTTTTTGGTAGTTAGTTGGAGATAAGAGTCTTACAGGCTTTCCTGCATGGGCCTTAAGCCTCAATCCTCCCATCTCAGCCTCCTAAGTAGTTAGGATGACAGGAGTGAAGCAATGGTATCCAGCTCAAACCAAGATTTCTTCATGTGCTGTAGAACCAGTACTGGAACCTTTCATTGTGTATGCCCCCCCACACCCCCGACTTGGCACACACTGTAATGGTTTGTTAGATAAATAAATGAGCATCTGTCTATGACAATACTACTGCAAAATCCCAACCAATTCAAGTAAGCATCCTGGGTGGGGACAAAGTCTGATGTAGCTCTCCAACAGTTCTCCCTCCTCCCTCTTCCCACCCTCCTGGTGCCACCGCACTTAACTGTTTTGGTTCCAAGGACATGAGCCATGATGTCTTCACTGGATTCCAGGGCCTCTGGGATGCCTATCTTCTCAAAGATCTCTGTCCAGCCACTGACCAGCTCTGTGGCACTCCATTCCCCACTCAGGTGTGAACAAGGTTGCTGTGAGGTGAACACCAGGTTCAAGAGGCCTCTTCTCCACTCCCTGGGGCAGACAGGATGGTCCACTATATCCAGCCCCCAAGTTACATGTTGCAGAGAAAGGATCCTTGAGGCATCCCGGGTCTCTGAATCTCCCAGATTCCTATGCAGGTGCTGGGAATTGTCTCTGCTCACAGCTGGCAGGCTGCAGATGGCGAGGTCACAATCTCTGCTCCGCAAGACACATCCTCAACTGTGGTGGTTACCCTAGAGAGAGCTGGAGGAGAATCAGCAGCTGCTGGAGAAAGGCAGTCAAGGCAAGACGTTCGTAGCAGGAAACCATCTGGCTTGGGAACTCTGCCTGTGCTGCTTTGAATGTCATTGTTTGGTGGCTGAAATGGTCCATCTAATTTGACCCAGAATCCCAGGCATTAGTAGAAATTGCCAGCTTCAAGAAAAAACCCTGGGAAAACTGGCAGTTCACTTGTCCCAATCAAACTTAATGGGTTCCAAAATCAGTAGTCCCCTTTTCCTTCCAGACAGCCTACAGCAGGTTACAGAAAATGCCATTCAGAGAGCCTCAGGTAACTGCCATGTCCTGATCCCAAGCAGGCTCTAGCATGGGGAACACACTTGCCTACCATTGCCCAGCTGGAAACAGCCCAGGAGGGACACAGATTGGAGTCTGCAGGACTCCAGGGAGGATTGTCAACCTGTGCACTGCCCTGGGAGGAAATCCATGCCACAATTGGGGGCCCAGAGCCCCCTGCTCAGATGCCCACGGACACCTTCAATGCCCTGGGTAAGATTCCCCTCTCATCCTTGGTCGTGGTGAACCATCTGCCATGTCACACCATTTATCACTTCCCAGACCCTCCTAACTTCACAGCTCCTGCCTGACTCCCCCTATCTCCTTCCCTAATTATGTTTAGCAGACACATTCCCAACTTTGAATTAGCTCCAACTATACACATAAGAGCAGACTGTCTGGCTGGATGAATAAAGCTGTGGTCACAGTAGCCTCATGAGCCTTCTGGCTAAAGACAGAAGGGCAGGTGTCCACTCTGGTCTGCGGTTCACATAGGCCTTCTAGGAGAGACTCACGCAGGCCCAGCAGTTACTGTGGGCTGCAGGAAAGGCGAAGAAAGTGGTGGGAAGGAACATCTAATGAAACCTTCTCTAAAGAAGACATGAAATGGTGAAAGAGAAAACAAAAATTGTGGCTGGGCTCATACGGGGCATTAATGAAAAAAAAACAACAAATACACACATGCACACAAATAAAATGCTTTTACTCGGGCTAGGAAGGTGGCTCAGTGGTAGAGAGCGTTCCTTTCATGCACGAGGCCCTGGGTTCCATTCCTCAGCACCAAGTATGCAAAAAGAAAAAAGTCGGAAGTGGCTCTGTGGCTCAAGTGGTAGGGTGCTAGCCTTGAGCTGAAGAGCTGAGGGACAGCGCACAGGCCCAAAGTTCAGACCCCACAACCAGACGCCCCCCCCAAAAAAAATGCTTGTGCTTTTTTTAGACATGCTGACTGTATAATGAGAAAGATGCTCTCTCTCTCTCTCTCTCTCTCTCATACACACCTAAACACACAGACTCAGAGCGGTGCCTCTCGTGAATTTGTTGGTTTCTCATCTGGGCAATGTACCAGCTCAAGCACGGGGGTTCCCTTGTCAGAACCAGGGGCAACCACCCAAGGGGAACAATGCTGTAATAATGCAGAACCACCCTGCCTCCCCCTTTCTCCAGGGCCAGAACCTTCCCCTTGGGAACAACCAGCCTTGACTCCCCACTCACCAAAACCCTAGGCTAGGACTCTGGGTGAAGGAGTCTCGAGACACGTGGCTCCTCAGAGCCTGGACAGAAAACAAAGCAGGGGGTCATTGTGTCTCCAGAGAGGTGTCTGACCTGGGGTGGGGGCGTTGTTGGGGACTTTGATGAGGTCCTAAAGGCTATATACATGGATGGACTCCCTACTTCCAGCCTACATACTTCTGGGCAACTTGGCAGATTCTTGGGGAGGACGAGGAGACCAGATGGACTGGGATCACTAGCAGAAGCTGGCAGAACTGGGAAATGTGATCACCCAGTCAGAACTGTTGACAGCTGGGGTTGGGGGTACAGGCCGGTTGTATGTGTGTCAGAGGGGGTGTGCTTTTCTCCCAAATACCCACCTTCTATCTGACCCCAGTGCCCTCACCTCTATAGTGGGCTCTTCTGGGATGTCCTCAGGTGAAAGGGTGACTGAGCACAGAAGACAAGGGCTCACACAACAAGGGGGGGCTATCTTCTCTATCCAACACCTCCCTCCCCAGCAAAAAGGAAAAGACCTAAGAAGGCAGGTGTTGGGTGCTGCTCCCCACCTCTGACTAAAGGCACCAGGTTTCCACCAGGGAGAGGAAAGATGCAGATGCAAGGCTGTGTGGCTCCCACTGCTCCAGGGTAGGGGCTCTGTGGTGCCCCCTCCTCACCCATCCCTGAAGCTCCCCTTTTCCTGGGACACTAACTGCTAGGGATGAGGGTGGGAAACCCGGGTGGACACCCACCTCCACCCCCCACCCCTGGGGTGCATTTGTGGCAGAGCCAGGGCTGATTGTGCTGCATGGGGGAGGTGCAGGTGTGATGGGAAAGGGGAAGCAAGAGGTGGGGTTCTGGCTCGGTGGGGGTCGGGGGTTGGGTAGAGTGGAGAGGTTGCAGGGGGTGGGGTCCTGGGGTGCTGGCCAGCAGGGCGGCCACTCACGCGTGTTGCTGGAAGCTGTAGGCTGAGATCGGGTGCGCACCCAGCATCTGAGGACCGGGGCCGGGACCAAGTCAGGGCCACAAGCATGCCAGGGGTGCTCCATCTATGCCAGGTGACTGCAATGCCAGCAGTCCCATGTTTGAAAAGCAGCGCTGCTGAGGGGGGCAGGGGCATCTGTGGACGCATGGCAGGGCAGCTTGCAGCCTCTGCTCCTTCTTCTCATCTGCCCCCCCATGTTCGGCCTCCTCCCCTGTGTTGGCAGCTGCTGCTGCCTCTACCTCATCGACATAGCTGCCTCCCTGCCACAAAAGATTGCATAGTCATACCAGACCACATGCAGATGGCCAGTGAGGTTAGACTTTGTCACATACTGGCTGTTTTGGTTTTAAACTTTTGTTTTAAATGACTCATGAATTCAATGGTAAAGCCAGCTTAAGATAAACATACACAAAGGAGTTTAGTGGAGTTTAACATAAGCATGTGAAAAAGGTGGAGTTTATAGTAAACTCGGAATGTGCCAGCACCCCAGCATGAGACAGATTACTGGCTACCTGTTTAGTCAGTCAGTCCTTAACAGAACTATGAAGGTGGGTTAAGTTGTTAAGGGGAGAGGGACCTAGAGGCATTCTTTTCATTCCAAGAACTGGGCTGGTTGGAGCCAAAGTTTTTTTTTTTTTTCTAAAATCCCTAAAACAAAAACAAAACGTGTAAAGAAGCTGTCCCAGCTCGAGTCTTCTCTCAGGGCCTACTTCACTTGTGCTCCTGCTCGCTCTTCTCTCTGCTCTCTCTCAGCCCCACACTCCTCTCCTGGGCCTTGCTGCCCTGATGCACTCATGCCCCTGCTCCCTTGGGCCCCTGGTCATTGCTGCCACCAAAGTGTGCCCCTGGGAACCGCCCCTCCTCCCCTGGGCCCCTCCCCCCACTGGCCACAATTGCAGCCCTGACTAGGTCCTAAGGCTTCCAGACCATGGCAATTGCAGCCTTACCTCAGCTCAGCACTCTCACCCCCCCAGTACCTGCCCTGGGGATTGAATCTCCCCTCAGCCCCACCGCTGGAGGAGACTCTCCTCTATTCCCCTTCACTCCACACACCAAGCAGGTGCATGGTGACACTCATGTGTGTATGTGTGTTTGTGTTTGTGTCTGTGTGATTGTTGGGGATAACTACCTCTCAGGGACTCAGAATATAGCACCCTTTGGGATGACTCAGCATATAGCGCACTTCCAAAAACAGCAAAAAGCACTCTGTGTAAAGGACTCAGCACACAGCTCCCTTTGAAGGATGCAGCATGTAGTACGCTTGGTAGAGTACTTAGCACAGAGCACCCTTTGAAGGAGGGAGTGCATAGCCTGCAGTGTAAAGGACTCAGTGCATGGCATGCTTTGAAAAACTCAGCACATAGCACATTTTTCCAGAGACTCATCACATAGCACCCTATAAGACTCCACACAGCACCCTTTGAAGGGCTGAGTATGAAGCACCCTGTGTAAAACACCCAGTGCACAGCACCCTTTGAAAAACTCAGCACATAGAACAATTTTGAAGAACTCAGCACATACCACACTGTGGAAGCACTCAGCACACAGCACCATTTGAAGGACAGTACAGAGCACCCTGTGTAAAGGACTCAGCACACAGCACTCAAAAACCTCACCTCATCCCTCTCTTCGCAAGGGCTGAGCACATAGCAGGACGTTTTGGGATGCAGTAGCTCACCACACCATTTGAAGGACTCAGAATACAGTACGTTGTGTAATGGACTCAGCATACAGCACCCTTTGAAAAACCTAGGAAGGTCCACTTTTCTCAGGGACTCAGCACATAGCATCCTTTGCGATGACTCAGCAAACAGCACCTTTTTGAGAACTCAGCACAAAACCCCCATGTGGGAAGGACCCAGCAAATAGCTCCCTGTGAAGGACTCAGCACATAGCTGTATGTCACAAGTTCAGCTGTCATTAGAATTAGGGTCTTTCTTCAGTATCACCATTCTTCAGAAACACTTCACAAACCTTACTAGTTCACATTTTAGACAACCTGTGTTTAATGGAGGAAGGTGACTGGGGGTCTTGAACTCAAAGCTTGAGGGCCCTGTCCCTGAGCTCTTTGGTTCACTGCTAGAGCTCTACCACTTGGAGGCACAGCTCCAATTTTTTTGGGGGGGGGGTTGTTCTTTCACAGGTCTTATGGTGATAAATAAGGCCAAGTTGGGGTATCCGTGGGCAAAGGCTCTTAGCTCAGCCTGGAGCTGACCTCTCCCTTCCTTGTGTCCCTGGAAAGCCGGACCTCCTGGAGCTCTCTTGGCCTAGGGTGGAACAGACCTGCTCTGGCATCAGCAATCAGAGTGAGCAAAAGTCAGCTTAGCTCTGGTCACTTCCCCAAATTGAACTCTAGAGGATGATGGCACAGGGCTGCATGTTCCGCGTGTGGCCACCAGGGGGCAGGAGTGGCCCACCATAGGGATTGTAACTGCGAGTTGTGTTTACTCTTGCTTTGATACAACCCCCATCATGCTTCAAAGCCACCCTGGACAGGAAAGTCTTTTAGATTCTTACCTACAATTAACAATGGAAAAGCAAGTGGGGCTGTGCCTCTAGTGGCGCAGCACTAGCCTTGAGCAAGAAAACTCAGGGATAAAGCCTAGGCCCTGAGTTTACACACACACACACACACACACACACACACACACACACATGCAAAATCAGAGATTTCTACACTGCAATCTTTGGGTATTCTCTACTTTTCCCCACTACTGGTGGCTGCTGGCCTACGTGTTTGATGCATACAACAGCACCTGGCATCTTTAATTTTGGGGGAACAGAATAGCTAGAAGGTCAGCCTTCCCCCATCCCGGCTTCTTGATTGGGTCATGGTCTATCCAGGCCCTTTGGGGCTCCTTTACAATATCGCCAAGATGCCTTCAAAAGGCATCACATACTGGGCACTGATGGCTCATGCCGGTCATCCTAGCTACTCAGGAAGCTGAGATCTGGAGGATCACGGTGCCAAGCCAGTCTGGGCAGGACAGTGTGTGAGACTCTTAGCCACAATGAAACATCAGAAAACAAAAGTGGCATTGTGGGTCAAGTGGTAGAGTGCCAGCCTTGAGAAAAAGAGCTCCGGGACAGCGCTTACGGCCAACAACAACACCAAGAGGCATTGCATGATGTCTTTGGGATTGGCATGGCCCAAATATAATTGGAATTAATTATAATTGGAATTAATCAAGTCCTCTAAGACAAAGAAGTACCTCCTTTAGTCCTGTGCTCCTCCATCTCGTCTCACCCCCTTGCCTTGTCCATGCTTTGGGTCAGCATGGGTCTGGCTGGACGGGAGGACTCCAAGGAAGATCCCAGAGCAATCAACCCCACTTCCTTCTGCCCTACTCACCCTGCTGCTTTTGCTCTTTTCCATAGACCTTTTTCCTGGAATCCATCCATGAGGATATCACAACCAACATAGTGGTGAGTGGTGTGTCTGGCCTAACTAGGGGCAGTCAGAAGTGGAAATAGGTCTGGGACTAGGAGCTTCCACCTTGGGTGTGGGCTGAGGCCAGGGCTGACCTTTATTTCATCCTGAGCCTTGCAGTGGTGGGGAGAAATTGTAGACTTCACATCGAGTCAGGTAAAATCAGAATCTGGAGGACCACTTGTGTGGGGGAGGATGTGGGACTCAGGGGGCCACTGTTGTTGGTACTCTCTTGGGACTCCCCTTTCCCTCTCTTATCTCTCAATGGTAGAAGAGAAACTTCAACTAAGGGTGTGGGAAGAGGGGGCAGGGGATTATTTTGGTGTGAACCAGACTTGTGCTTCATATTCATCCTAGCACTTACTTCCTATTTATCTGAGGAATGGCCATATGGGTTTGGAAGGAGGAGAATCATCCTAGCTGAGAATGTGGCTCAGTGATAGAGTGGTCACCTAGAATGCCTGAAGCCCTTGGTTCTATTCCACACAGAAAAAGCTGCAAAGGGAGGTGGCACTCAACTGGTAGAGTGACAGTCTTGATCAAAAAGAGCTCAGGGACAGTGGCCAGGCCCTGATTTCAAGCCCCAGGGCTGGAAGAAAAAAATCTTTGTTGGAGGCTTTTTTTTTTTGCTTTGAAAACAATTTATTCTTTGTGATAAGCATAACATGGGCCTCTTTCCTGGCTACCAATGGGCCATTAGATATCCCTTGAGTTTGGGCCAACTCCCTGAAGCTTCTGTCCTCCCTGACCTCCAGTTTAACTTTCCCATCACCCAGCAGATGGAGGCCTGAGAGAAAGCCACCTGGCCACCTACTTCTGGTGGCTGCCAAGGCTTATGAGAGTCAGTATGTCACATAGAGAGTCATCATCTACATCAGTTTACAGGAGAAAGTTGGGGAGCACTCTTCCCCTGAGCCTGGGAGCTGTGGGCGGATCTGGATGTGGGGCATCTGGGGCAGGACGTGCTCCTTGGGGGAGTCCACTATGGGGTCGTGAACCCTGACCTCTCCTCTGGCACTTTCCATGCTGTCTTTAAGTTGCAATTCTTCGAAACCTTTCTGCTCCTCCCTCATTTCACCCATCACAGGCCCTGAGGCATCTGAAGCAGAGTTGGGGGGGGGCTCAGCCTGTGCTGGCATCTGCAGACTGCTGTATGTGCCTTCCCCTGTGAGAAGCAACAGCAGCTCCTGCAGCACTCTCCTCCTTTCCATCTTCTCCTGGGATAGCCAGTGTATGCACTTGGCTTTCTCCCAACACAACTCATTCAAGACCAACATCTGTTCTTTACACACAATGAAGGACTCCTCGATGGTTTGGATGTGTGCCAACAGCTGGCTGCATCAATGGTGGAGCTCACCTGTTGGACTCTGGAAGTACACCTCATCAGGCAGGTCATGGACGAAGCAGATTTTCTTTTCAGATGCCCATGTGTCCTGTTTCCCATCCCCACGCATGCTGTGGTGGCAGCTCATGGGGCAGAGGGCCTGTGGCTCCAGCTCAGTCTGTCACTGAGCTGCCGGGTGGCCTGGGTGCCTGCGGCAGGTCCACGCTCCTGTGGCAGGATTTTCCCCCTGTGGATCTCAGCCTCCGAGTGTGCTAACAGAGTCTAGTCCATCTCCCAGGCAGCATGGAATGTGTTCTTGTATCCCTTTGGTCAGAAAGAACCATGAAATAATGGTGTGGCCAAAATCGTGTGATGCACGCAGAATGCTTTCCCAGGGAACTCTGTCCAATTCAGTTGGGGACAAGAGGGTGACATGCTTTAGCAGTTGGGGACAAGAGGGTGACATGCTTTAGCTGGATGGCTGCACAGATTGTTGTTTATGTCTGTTTGTTGCCAGTCCCAGACCTTGAACTTAGGATCTGGGCACAGTCCATGAGCTGCAGGCTAGCCTGGCTTTGTTGGCACTGAAGTTGGACAGGGGTTTCAAAGACTTTCCTGCTTAGGGTGACTTTGACCATGATCCTCCTATCACATTGACCATGATCCTCCTATCACAGCCTTGTAAGTATCAAGGAGGACTGGTGAGAGCCACTGGTGCCTGTCTAACCATTGGTCTTGCTGATGTTCTTGGAAGACCGGTGAGCTGGAGCCCACAGTTTGAATAGTTTGAATCCTAGATCCTAAGAAACTCATTCCTATCCATATGAATACCAATGGAATGTGATGTATGCTATGATTGAATGGGCAGTTTTTGAATGATTCTAGGATAAAATTATACACAATTATTTTATAGGACACTGATCGATTTTAATTAATACTTTATGAAGATTTAAACAATCACATTCATTAAATTGGGCATAATGAAATACCTAAGAATTGGACATCACATAGTATAGAGATGTCATTTTTTCTGCCCGGACTTTCTTAATTGCTATATAGCATTTTCTGAATGTACTTTGGAATATGAAACTAGGATATATTATAGCTGACCTGGAAATAAATTATTCAAACAATTTTTATCAAAAATGCTTATAGCAAAATAAAGAGGCAAATCCAAATTATGTATATTTGAAGACAATGCTTGGTTAATCCTCCTCTCACATTCCCCCCCTTCTTAAGAATAACAAACATTGTAAGGAAATGCTTAGAATGTTTTGGAGAAATAGGTTGACTTTAAACCAGTGAGTTACTCTATGCTGCATTTTGTTTACTTTATATCTAGAAAAGCTAGACTCTCATCTTATCATTTTCCTTAGGCTTTATACTCAGGTTTAATCTTCGATGGATGAGAAATAAAGATATAAACATTTTTTAACAGTGGTTAAATTTAGGCTGAGGAATCTAGGTACAATTATACTCATACAGATAAGCCTCATCAGTCATGAGACCATGATATCAAAATGTTAACCAATGCTTACTGGTGTCATGCTTATGAGATTTTGTGTATTATAAATAGTGGTTATTAGCAGTTGTTTTGTAAACAACATCATTTCATGGGTTAGGAACTGAAGTGAGACATTATACTCAGAACTAAATTGAAGGAGGAATCCAAAATTAGTTACCAAGATATACATAATTAACACAATGTTTTAAAAATGCAAGCTAAAGGAAATAATTTATAAAAAAAATCAGCATTTACAATAAATACAGAATCAGTATGACTGACACTTCTTTTATCCCAGTTGCAATACGGCTTGCATGATGACTTTTCTGGTTATATGTTTAGTTAGGTCTTGATATTTAGCTGAAGTTCTGTTCTTTCATATATTCATTTATCAGATCAAAGAGGAAATTAATTCCATGCCAGAGTCAACATCCATAATAACGATATAGTTGTATCCTGCTACTTTGCCAAAGTTTCAAATCAGCTTGAGTATCTTGAGTCTTTTTTGGATCTAACTAAATGGGTATGTAATTTTGTCAGTACTAAAAAGATTTTGATCATCACTCATTAAAATAGTATTTTCTAGAAACTACTTCTATCTTTTCATGAAATTTTTAATGTCATTTATATCATGGGTTGATGTTTTCCTTTAGATAACCTACATTCAGTCTTCTACAATTTGGAGTAGTTTAAAATTATGTATACTCAGGTACCCTGCTCAGATTCTATTATTTGCATATTTTGTTCTTGTTAAATCAGTAGGATTTAGGTCTCAATATGGATACTATTGGACTTATTCATGGCATTTCTGAATTTTTTAAGTATGTCATGATTTTTGTTATTTTATTCTTTTAATATGGGCAGCTCTCACTCCACATACAGTCACATTTGTTTTAAACAACTTGATCCATTCATGTGATTTGCTATATTACGTTCATCTAGATGAATTTAATTACAAATTAACACAACCATATTTCTTTTTTAATTTTAATTTTAATAATTATTATTGTGAAAATACTGTACAGAGGGGTAACAATTACATGGGCAAGATAGTGAGTACATTTCTTATCAAGCATTGTAGCCTCCTCCTTTGTTTACTCTTCCCATCCCTTCCCATTCTCCCACCCCCCCACCGAATCTTCCCCCTCCCAATAAGTTGTAAAGTTCGTTTTCGACATGACAACTTGTACTTCTCATAACACAACCATATTTCTGAGACACAGTTATCTTTATGGATCTACTAAAGGGTAACATGTATTTGAGGTTTTTGTGCTTAAACACAACCAGGCACAACAAGTTTTTGTTCCTGGGGGACTTCTACTTTCTTGGTTGTTTTTCCAGCTGTGGTGACTTTAACATATGTGTGCATTTTATTTCAGTTGTTTTTTGTCTATATTTTGTTTCATATAAAAGAAAATACATAAATAATCAGTGATTTAGAACTTTTCCAAATAGATTTCTAAGAGAGATACTTGAAGTTTTGTGGCATCTGGGACCAGGTAGGTCTTCTTAATGGAGGGGGTAGCAGAATAACAGACACATTCTTTGACATGATTTGAATTCTTCCTCCTCTTGCCTCACTATTTCCAATAATATTACTTCAAAGCCTTTAGTGGAAAGAAAATAATTTTGTCTGTATGAACTCATAAATTTGCTTTAATTAGGACACACTACACATTTACATGTGATTTTAACTCTAAAATCTTCTTTCCTTCTTTTAAGATCACAGATGTGAATTTATAATGCTAAAATACCATCTAATAATTTATATGAAATGGTCCAAATTATTTTCACTTCACACTATGTGTAATATAGAGTGTAATAATAGTGAGTAATGTAGTATGTAATAATTTTCTTTGGGGAAAGCTAATTACAGTGGATTTTGTGAAATACTGAGTAATAGTAAAAATTATGTTTGATTCTATTAAAAAGGTCACAGTTACATCTAAAAATAACTCATAATTATAAACTAATGCTAAAAAGTAAGATTGTTTATTGGAAAAAGCCAGAAGTTTCAATAAGCTTACTTTTTAGAAATTGACTTGGATCTGGGCTTTGGTGGCTCATGCCTGCAATCCTAGCTACTCAGGAGTCTCAGAATGAGGATAATGGTTCAAAGCCAGCCTGTGCAGAAAAGTCTGTGAGACTCTTATCTCCAATAACCCACTTGAAAAGTAGAAACAACACTGTGGCTCAAGTGGTACAGTGGTATCAATGAGCTGAAGAGCTGAGAGACAGCGCCCAGTCCCAAAGTTCAAGCCGCATGACCAACAAAAAAAACAAAAAATTGACATGGATTTTTACTTTAAATTTCATGATTTTTTTTATTGTGAAAATACATACAGAGGGGTTACAATTACATGAGCAAGGTAATGATTACATTTCTTATCAAGCATTGTTGCCTCCTCCTTTGTTTCCCTTACCATCCCTTCCCAACTAACTCCCCACTCCCAAACCAACACATATGTCAAAGTTGTAAAGTTCGTTTTCCGACATAACGTGTTGTACATCTGATTGTTGCAATGAGTCCAACTGTATCCCTATTTAAAGAATTTGTTTTTCCCTTCTCCTCCACAAATTATACAACATCAAATACAGTGAAAACAGGGGTTATACCATGGGGGAGGGACATACAAAGCAACAAAGAAATCATCTTAGAAATATGCTAGAAACAATAGCAAGAGAAAAAACACCATTTGAGTTCTTATCTTGGGGTACATTTCACCTAATATCAACTTATCTGACCGTTTCTGCTTGTCTCACAAATATACTAGTTATTGCAAATAAGGGAAACCATGGGACATATGTTTCTTTGGGCCTGGCTTACTTCACTTAATATAATTTTTTCCAAGTCTTTCCATTTCCTAACACATGGGGCAATGTCATTCTTTCTGATAGAGGCATAGAATTACATTATGTATATATACCACATTTTCTTGATCCATTCATCTACTGAGGGGCATCTGGGTTGGTTCCATATCTTAGCTATGGTAAATAATGCTGCAATAAACATAGTTGTGCTGGTAGCTTTAGTATGGTTATGTTTATGATCATTTTGACAAATGCCCAAAAGTGGGATTGCTGGGAAATAGGAGTGCTCTATGTCCATACTACTTTCCAAAGTGGTTGAACAAGTTTACACCCCCACCGATAATATAGTACACCCCCACCGATAATATAGTAAAGTTTCCTTCTGTTGTTATTAGAGTTCTTGATTATAGCCATTCTAACTGGTGTGAGGTCGTATCTCAATGATGTTTAGATTTGCATTTCTTTTATGATTAGGGAAGTTGAGCATTTCTTCATGTGTCTATTAGCCATGCTTCTTTCCTCTTCAGAGAAGTTTCTCTTTAAGTCTTTAGCCCACTTATTTATTGGGCAGTTGTTTGAGGATTTGTTGTTGGATTTACTTTTGTGAGTTCCATGTATATTTTAGATAAGAAACCCTTGTTTGTTGTATGGCCAGTGAAGATCTTCTCCCAATCCATGGGTTTTCTATTGATCTTGCTAGCTTTATTCTTTGCCATGCAGATGCTCTACAATTTTATGTAATCCCATTTGTCCAACCTTTCTTTGATTTGTTGTGTTTCTGGGTATCTATTAAGAAAATTTCGGCCTGTGCCAAG